AATATTCACATAATCACAAAGTTATTCACTATCATACACAAAGTTATTCACGTATTACTGCTTCCGTTACTAAATATAGTAAAAAATGAAGTACTTTTTTAATACAAAAGATCAGTAATTATTGGCCTTAATCAAGTGATCAAATTTACCTTAACCAATAATGAGATAATCTGACCTAATATACCTTCTGACTTGAACAATAAGGACATAACATCACATATATAGAATACCTACCAATGATTTTTAGCCTGAATCTAGCCATGATGAAATAATTAGAAAATTAAGACTATAAGAAGCAATGTGCACACACATGCATACACACAAAGAGGCATAGAATCATTTAAAAAGTGTGATATTATAAAATATGTGGTAGGGCAATTAATCTAAAGTAAAAGAGATTAAAGGTACATACTCAAATACTACCTTTAACCAGTCATTATTAGGACAATTCTGGAATTTTGAATATCTATTATATTGTTAGGTTTGTATAATTTGTTTCAGTTTGAAATGATATTGCGATTATGAAAGAATATCTAATTTTAGACGGTGTATGCTTAATATTGACAGAGAAGGCTTATAATGTCTACAGCTTACATACAAGAGAGTTAGTGAATCAATACACAAAAATCACAGGCATTCATATACGCCAACAACAGTCAAAGTGAGAACCAAATCAAAGACTCAATTCCCTTCAAAATAGCAACAAAGAAAATAATGTACCCAGGAATATATTTAACTAAGGAGGTAAAAAACCTCTACAGGGGGAGCTATGAAACACTGAAGAAGGAAATAGCAGAAGATGTAAACAGGTGGAAGACCATACCATGATCGTGGGTTGGCAGAATCAACATTGTTAAAATATCTATGCTACCCAAAGTGACCTACAGAGTTAATCTAATCCCTATTAAAATACCATCATCCTTTTCACAGATTTAGAAAAAATAATTTTATGCTTCGTATGGAAGTAGAGAAGACTCTGTATAGCAAAATTAATCCTAGGCAATAAAAACAAAATGGGAGATATCAATTTACCAGACTTCAAACAATACTACAAGGCTATAGTAATTAAAACAGCTTTTTACTGGCACAAGAACAGGGACATTGACCAGTGGAACAGAACAGATATAAAACCATCCTCATGTAGCCATCTAATCTTTGACAAAGCAGACAAAAACATACACTGGGGAAAAGAATCCTTATTCTATAAATGGTGCTGGTAAAACTGGATAGCCACATGTAGAAGACCGAAACAGG